TGTTGAGGTCATGATTTATGCAGGCGCTGACATGAGAACGTGATTGGAGGAATTCCACCTCATACAAGAAATCGGACTGGTTCATTTATGGCTTCACTTTCTGAGGGTTATGTAAATACATAGATGTCATCTATTTGCCTAATAAACGTTGTCTCTGTTCTTGCAGTCACAGTCACAGGAGATACCGGGGGAGGTCAGTCGTAAAGGTATTCGGTTGAGGTTTCCATTGAGTCCAGTATTCATTATACCCACGCACGCAACCCTATCACTCGGTCACAACAATTATCATTACAAATTGTTGACTGTTTGCAGCTGATGAAAGGCTGTGAAATAAAATGACTTCCTTTTATTCTGCAAACAAACATCTTTGTTCTTGAATTGTTCAAAGAACCTATCATACTGAATTTCTTTTACATCAGTTTGGTCAAGAAACAATGAAGTTGATCTTTGTCATTTGAAACTGTAGTTAATCTACTTATAAACATACCCGAGCACTTAGAGCTAATATCCCATCATTAGAAGTTTGAAAAGAAGAAAATAGAAATGTAGGGAAAAAATACAAAAACCAAACGTATAGGTAACAGAAATTGATGAAAGCAGAGACTATCTGGTTGAACTATCTTCAGCGAAATGTTTTATACACTATAAAAATATATTTAGCTTCATTTGCCAAGTGGAAATGTCTTCCCTTTTGAACAGTCCTACTCACTACTATCAAAGCGGCGTCAAATATGCCTACTCATTGCCAGATTATCAGATGATGTTTGGTTATAAGGCACAGTTACAGTTGATTTGCCCTTGATCTGCTCCCTATAGATTCTTATCAGCAGCATCCATTATAATACGCCTGCATTATCCCTTGCATTGCTCTTGGCAGAAACCTTACCCATTGCCGGTAATTCTCTATGATTCCTGTCACCCTCTCGACATATACTACTTATATCCATTGTTATCAGCAAAGCCCACTACAGCTTGACCCTACACGTCATGATTTATTTCATTAGAACTTCAAGAAATCTCCTTCATAACAAGTTATTGATGAGCTCTAGAAAATAGTTCAATTAGTGGTTTGTAATACTGGCTATTGGAAGAAGGGTTACCTTGTCAAACTGCCGAAGAAGGGAGACCTCAGTGTTTTCAAGAACTGGTGCGGAATCACTCTCCTGTCCACTCAAAACAAGCAAAATATAAAACCGCATCATCCTGGAGAGACTAAAGGATGCACTGGATTCAAAACTACGACCGGAACAGGCAGGTAGGCTGAATTCAGGAAGTACGAATCATGTGCCGACCAAATTGCAACGCTTCGCATCAGTCATAAAACACAGTACAGAATGGCAGTCAACTCTCTACCTCAACTTTATCACCTTTGAGAAGGCCTTTGACAGCGTCGACCGAGAGGTAATTTGGAAAACTGGTTCAATTACTACAGGAATACCGCAAACCTTTATCCGCCTCATTCAACAACTATATGAAGATGCCACATGCCAGCCAAGTAATTCACAATGGGAAGCTAGCTCAGTGATGCTTTTGAAGTGAATACAGGTGACAGGAGTGAAACAAGGTTGCCTACTATCCCCCATAATATTCCTGATTGTGGTCGACTGGACTGGATCATGCAGGAAACAGTGGGGAGCTGTGAGAAGAGGGGGATACGCTGGACTGAGGAAAAGAACCTAGAAGATTTGGATTTCGCCAGTGATGATTTGTATCTGATGTCACACAAACTTGATGATCTAGAGGCGAAATTTAACAAGTTGTCAGAAGAGGTGAGGCAGCGAAGACGGGACTTCAAGTGAATATCGAGAAGATAGAAGTGATGAAGATACCTAACCAACAACAACAACAAGCTCTAATCACCATCAGCGGGGAAACTTAAAGGAATTAGCCACTTCCTCCTAACTAGGCAGCACTATTTCAACTACAGGTGGCACAGACGAGGACGTCAAAGGCAGCCAGGATCGGAAAGATAGCAAGAGAGACGTTGATTAGCCTGAAACCAGTGTGGAGATCCTCTGCAATCAGCATATGAAACAAGATCCGGATTTTCAACACCAATTCAGTCAAGTCAGTGCTTCTGTATAGTATGGTTGAGAGACTTTGAGCGTTACGAAAGGGATTTCCAACAAACTACAGATATTCATCAACAACTGCCTACTCTGGCTCGTTTCGGAAGATCAGATGACCAGAACAATGAGGATAAGCAACAAGGAGCTCTGGGAACGAACCAACCAACAACCTATCACCCAAAAAATATGCACTGAAAGGAAGTGGAGGTGGATTGGGCATACACTGAGAAGGCTGACTGGGGACATCACGTGTCAGGCCCTTGAGTGGAACCTAGATGGGAAGCGACGAGTTGGGCGTCCCAGTTGAGGGTGACATGGAGGGGATCGTGCGAGGAGGAAATGGGAGCTTGTGGGTTGTCGTGGAGCCAGGTTCAAAAGATTTCAGAGAACAGAGTTCACTGGAGACGTGCTACCGAAGCCCTATATTCCATTAGGAACCCAAGGGACTAATAATAATGTTATAATAATACTGCCAGTATACAACATGCTGCCATGTAAAATACTAAATTAGAAGTTTTACAATAAATGAGAACATTTCAGGTTGGTATTCATCATGGACTGACATCATTTGCTAGAACGTTCGAAACCTCAGAGCACTAGGCAGGTGTTTCGTACCACTATGAGACTCCTCAGAATTTCCCACCCACTACCCCTCATGGATCGAGGCTAGCATGTTAACACTGAGTTCTCAGGTTTCCAATCTTCCTTCAACTAACGTCAGTTCATGATGCATTTTAACCTAAAACCAACTAATAAATTTGTAAAAACTTCCAGATAGAATTAATCTAGCGCTCATTAGTGACTAGCTTCGAGGAGTGATTCATGAAGTTTCAATAAGAATTTGTGACCATTGGAGTCAACGAAGTTGAACATGAGGACAGTTACTCAACGACGACATTGGATGTATGTCGCATTATGTCGTGAACTGATAGAGGTAGGAAATATGGACCAATGAATTCCTGCCCAGTGGCTCAATAGTAACATTCTGGCCACGGAACATGAAGGTCCTGAGTTCGATCTCTGGTGGTGACGGCGGGGTCATGGGTTCCCACTGCCAAGGAGTCCTATAGTAGGACGAAACACCTGTCCAGTACACCCAAGCTTCCAATGTTCCTCCAACTGATTTCATTCTATGATGAATTCCAACGTACAACCAATTGATGAATCTCAACAAACCTCTTCATAGAAATGAAGAGATTGGTTAAACTTCCATTGAAGATCACTCATTTCGCCAGTATTTGAACGAAATAACGCCTTCTGATGTCAGTCACACCACATTAGGTTTATAAGGCAACATACCTGTTATCTGGTTATTGGTGGCTAACCTCAGGACCGAAGGCACCCTCTACATCCTATTTCAAACTTGTCGGGCGGATATTTCTGCATTAAAGTGAGTGATTATATTCTGGTTGAGACTAGAATCCAGTACACATTACTTCAAACTCTAAAATGTTATACTTTATGCTGCTGAGTCACAAGGACCACTTCTAGCAGATGGTGCAGCCAGTCGAAAATGGTCATGTAGTATCATGATGAATGTCGAACAATATCGAGATATATCTCACAGGATCATGAAGGCCAACACAGGTTCATTTACTCCTACGAAATGTGTTACTGAACAATTTCAGAAGTTAGAAAGAACTCAAACTGATCTATACTAGTTCATTAACCAGCCAGATAAGAGAGATCTAAACACTAGACGACTGATTCACTCGTTTGAGTTCAAGGTCATCAGCAGTTTGCCCAGCTCATACAATCAAATTACTTCAGATCAGCTGAATCTGGCCAACTAAGTTGCATGGACTAGTACACCTTTAATGAGATGAACAATTTGCGATAGTGTAACATTAATTGAAAATCTTTGAGCAGTATTTTTAGTCGAAAAGGTTCCCCCTCTCTACTTAGTAAATTCGACTCACTTCAGACGTCATTTCTATCAAACATTAACTAGATATATCTTTGTGTATTTACTGTAACCTTTGAATACATCTCATATTCATAAGTCAAAATATCTGCTACCTAGAAATTGAGCGTTTATTTATGAAACTATGCACTTGGATTACCTACCATACTTTGTATGATCATCCTTTCTGAAGTTAATTTACAATAGTAAAACTTTGTTTTTAAAAATTGTATACCATATAGAGTTGTGATGTGTGTTGTTCAGATAGTTGCACTGGAATCAGTCAGTTTTGTGTTGTAAACTGTTTCAACTAATTCAATTTAGGAAGCTGGTCAATATATATATATATATATATATATATATATATATATATTATTGAGTACACGTATCATACGGCTAAAATAAGCCTCGTCTACCAGTGTCCACCCTACATTTAATGACTATGAATGATTATGGTAAAACTTAGCTCTGTTTTCTAGTTAGTATTTGTAGATAAGTAGATTAGGGATCCCCACATCTGTCTAGAAGTGTTCACTGTCGAATGCAGCTTACAAATGAGTCTGAATGCTGAACGATATGGTGAGCAACTTTTCATCATAGTTATCTTATAAATAATTCATATGCTTAATCAAAGCATAAATCAGCTCAGTAGTATGTTCAGTAGGCTTGTCCAATCATATTTTTGCGATAACTATGCTAAACATTGTGCTGCAGAAGGGAAAAAAAAGACCATAGATTCCTTCAAATTCTCAACTACACCATATCTACCAAACTTTATGTACACTATCTACAATAGGCAAACGCATAAACGTAAAGTCTACCAACTTCGGACTCAAACTGTACATGTAGACACACACAGTGTAACTGAAATTTTGACAAGTTGTTCGAATCACTACCAAATCTTTGAATCACATCTCTTTTCCTCTTGTAAATAGGATGATATGCAGAAGATGAAGGAGACAAAAGAGAAGAAGAATAAGCAAGGAGTTGTTCACTTTCCGGTTTTTAGAAAAAAAATTTTTTTTTCCTTTATCTATTTTAAAGATATGGTAAATTTTAGATTTTTCCACTAGTTTAATTGTCATTACTAATAACATATTAACAAAAACCTATCATCAAGCGGATACAACTTTCATCTTGTTTATTTGTATACAATTGTATATATTTGTGTATGAATGTGATTAATGTTGACATGATACAGAGTATTTTGATACTGAAAAAAGGAAGAGAAACTTGACATACATACAGGTAAGAAACAAGAAGAAAAAAACACAGAAGGTAAAGATGTCAACAATAGATCATCATAGAATAAACACTAAATCATAAAGTAAGCGAAATAGTATGCCTGATTGATGAATCACTTCGCTTACTTAAATAATCATTCAAAGAAAAATGAATAAACAATCAAATGAAGAATTAACATGTAACAATTAAGTATCAAGAAGTGAAATCAAGTGTAAAAATACACAAACAGATTGTCAACTAGTCATAAACCAATAAAAATTAATCAATTATTTAATTATTCAATTAAATTATTATTGTTTGTTACAGCACAAATGATAAGTACATCATATAATGATGGAATGAATTCTTTTTTTAATTAAATATTTTTACTAGTCAATAAGTTGTGTAGTTCACCTGAAGATTGTTGATAGTGTTGACGTGAAGTAGAAAGGTGACTGGAATGTGAATGATGATGATGATGATGATGATGTTTACTGATTAAATGATTTCGAATATGTCGTTCTAAATTAGCGCGTTGTCCAAAACGTTTTAAACAAACATTACAATGAAATGGTCTCTCTTTTTGATGTATATTACGTATATGACGTTGTAGATTTGAACTAATACTGAATGATCTTGGACAATGAATACATTTATATGGTTGTTCTCCAGTATGTGTTCGTATATGTCGTGTAAGATTAGCTGATCTAGGAAATAGTTTACCACAAAAATGACAACTATAACGTTCACGTCTTGATGAAAATTGATTTGTAAATACTGTAGACAATCCTTGAACTTCTGAATAATCTGAATTGAAAACATCATAAACATGTGATATTGTTTCATTATGCTGGCAAATATTATTACTACCGTTATCCTCATCATGATCATGATCATCATCAGTATCATTATTATTATTGTTATCATTATTATTATTATTACAGTTATCATTACATTGAGCATTGAATAGTGTTTGTGAAATTTTCGTTTTAATTGGATGTCTAAATTCCGCGCTATTTGAACATGTATTCCATGTATGTATATTTTTTCTTAATGATAATAACCATTTTGTTGTAGTCTCATATGAAATATGATCAGTATAAATTTCAGTAGAATTTAAATTGGAAATGAAGGTTTTAATATAATTTTTTGATCTTTCCAACATTTTTAAATAAGTCAGCATAAAATCATAATGATGATGATGATGATCAGGTTGATTTTGATGATTAATCATCACATCTAAGAGCCCATTATTATTATTATTATTATTATTACTATTATATATCGATGAAGGGAATGTATTCAATGATATATTTTTTAACTGTTGACTAAATTCATTTGATTGTGATGAAATATAATCAGGATTATTGATTGAAGATGATTTTATAGATTTATGATTATGTAACATTGTTAAAGCTAAAAGTTGTTCAGGTCGTGGAATAGTCATAATTGGTGTTAGAGGAGATTTTAATTGATTTTGTTTTGATGTATAGAACATTTGTAATGTCTCTATTGATGGATTAAATAAACACATACCATTAGTATTACGGTTGATCATTGATGATTGTGATAATTCATGGTTAACATTTTTCAAATCAATCATTTCACTTTTATTCTGTAATATAGATGAATTTACTAAATATGAGTCAAGAAATTTATCACATCTATCTGTAGACGTCGACATTATCGGTAACTGTGATATCTTGACTGTGTTTCATTATTTGGGATTAGAGAATGACAGGATAAATCTAAGGGTACTGGTTGAGGTAGTTGTACTTCAGTTTGTTCTCTGATGATCTCTTCTGAAACCATGTCAAGATTTATTACTAATTGTTACAAGATGATGCTTAGTGTAAAGTATTATGTCTGAGTTCAAGCGGGAAATACTATTTCAGAGGCTTTAAACACCAATAATAAAAGAGAAACAAGGGTATTAATTACATAATATCATTGTTTATTAATTATTTAAAAAAGATAGGACATTTACTTTAAATAAAGACCACGATTATCTGATACAATGAAGTGGATTGAATAATCACAGATATGTTATTCTGCTGCTTTGAAGCTACTCCGATACTTTTTTGCGCATATATTTGTACTACTGACTATTAGTAAGTAGCATAGTTATATTCCTTAATCACACTCCTTCACTTAATTCGAAGATAATGATCTCTCTAACATTCATGACTTTATGGTATTCTTTTTCAGCTTTATCCTTCAACCTCTATCATATCCTCAAAATTTGTCTGCCTTTAGCCTGTCATCATACCCAGCTCAAATTCATGAACATGTTGTTCAGTTGACTTTCATTTCATGGTCTGGCATTAAACCGGAGATGGAAGAATAGCCTGTTGATAACTTTCAAACACCTGATTTCAAATAAACATATCTAAAACACAACTGTTTTCTCTGCAGTAATAGCTAATAACTCAAAGCGAGAGAAAAACTCAACTATGGTTGAACTCGAACCAGCACCCTTCAGGTACCTGTCTTCTCAGCCTAACAGTTGATGATGATGATAATTGGCCAAAACTTTTGGTGATTCAAGTGATAGACCAGATAACTGGTAGGCATAAGTCCGTCGGTTAGAATCCCGGTACAACTCAGTTATTACCTGTATGACAGAATGTAACACTTCAACATGGTTTAGCAAACTTATTTGTAAATGTCTTAGAGCTACAATAAACTGATCTTCTATGAATGAAAGCACAGTCATAAGAATCCACTTTTCAGTTCGTAGGCAATCAACAGCTGATGAGGACACAGATATCGTGGAATATGTGATATCGTGATCATGTGATAGGCTCTCTTCTAATCATTTTCATTTTTTCAAGCAGAATCACTTCCTGACTCAATGAGATCAGTCACTATCATTAGTATGTATCTGTTCAAATTTCTCTCTGGTTTTACCTCTTCAAGAAACAGGTTCACGTTGAAGCTTCGAAACATCAACTTCAAAGTGGTTTATGGATTAACATTGGACTAGAACTTTAATGGAATTGATGACAGTGTCGGAGTAATTTTGATCACAAATTATTTTCAACTCATTTAGCTACTGGATACCAGAGATAGCTGAATACCATTGTATCCTCTTGATGAGTCTTGACACGGACGAAACGTTGGTTTCGCACGTTGATTTTAATCGAAGAGTTATCATTTCATGGCAGATTAATGAAAGCAATATGATGTACAGTACTCCTGGCAAATCAGAATCACAGTAAGGATGGATAGTGGCTGGCAGTGGAATCCAGGATGAGCATTTCGTCCTTATTAGGACTCGTCAACTGGATGTACCTACACCCCAGTGTTGTTGCCACTGAGACTCGAACCCCGTGTCGTTCCTCGGTGGCACAGTGGATAACGCCTTGACGTTTAGATCGATGGGTACGAGGTTTGAGTCTTAGTAGGAAGAACATCACTGGGGTGCAGGTACATCCAGCTGACAAGCCCCTAATAGGAGGAAATGTGCATCGTGGATTCCTCTGCTAGCTATAACAACCAACCAAATTATCATACTTGACATTCAGACAATATCGGGGCATCCGCATAGAAGTGCATATGGCCATATGCCAATAGAGGTCGAACAATTCTATCCAACAAAACAACGGAGAATAACAAGTATGTCAATAAATAGTAATAATTGAAGATATCTTCATACAGTTCTTCTTATCAAACTCTTGTCACATATTATAAGAGTGAAACTTGATCGCCATGGTAGGATGTAATTCCATTTTTATCAATTTATTCAATATGTGATCACATGATATGGAACAGTATTGTTTACTCGATTATATTTTGGACATAATTTATCCTATCCATAGTCATATCAAGATAACTATACAACTAGGAGATATCCTTTATAGAGTTAGTCCTGATTTCTTCAACCTCTTTGTGTTATGGATAGTAAGATTTTCCATATATTCTGGAACAGACATTTAGTCATTCTTTGACAGAATTCTGGTTGTTTCATCAAAAGTAAAATTTCTAGAATACTTCAGGAGTATAACAATCATGTTCTACAATGCCTAATTTTCTTAAAAGAATAAGTACTTCACCACCTGAATAGTTGATGAATTTTCGGTCGACCTATTCACTGCTATATTAGCCTTTTGATAAGTGTTATGTTGCAAACTGTATCTACCTGGCCTCCTTAGCCGAAACATAGGTCTAACTTCTGGATGGAGCACAAGGACACCTTTGAATTTCGTGCATTCTCCCAGGCCGTTAGAGAATACTGTAGCATGTTTCAGTCGTAACGCATCTGTTAGCTTCAGATGGATAGGTGATGATATGATGGGTTTCGGTTGCTTCATCACTTAAGTCTGGTTGCAGATAAGGTTTAGTGGTTTTTCAAACAATTTAAGTTTTCATCTCCAGTCCAAGCGAAGAAGATCTAAAGGTGGTTGATTAGTCAGGTACAGGATTCCATTAGACGTCTCATCACCATGCACAACGGTACAATGAACTTCACCACCTGATGCACTGTAAGCGACCTGAATAGTTGGATGGATTTTCAGTCGACCTATTCACTGCCATATTAGCCTTTTGATAAGTGTTATGTTGCAAACTGTATCTAATTGTAAACGAACTTGCTGTACGTTGATTTCTATGGATATATATTCTCTTCATGATGCTGGTCTGCTTCTTTGTAGTGCTATAACTGCATTCAATCTGAAGATTTTATGCTTATCTTGTTTTGAATACAACTGTGGTTGATTTCAGCGTTAACTTTACAATGGTCCTCTGTATGACCTTATGGAGAACACTTAATATATATCGATGATTCTTAAACGGACAAAATTTCACAAAGTGTCAACCTACCACAATTCCAACCTGGTGAAGGTTGATTTCGGTCTACTGTTATTACTTTTTGAATCATCACTAGTTGTACATTCTTTCTGACTGACTTTATTAATATTCACTGAATAATTTAAGTTTTCAATCATTGTTGAGTTATACTTCAAGTTCCTGAAGTGTTACATTCGAAAACTGTTCTATCCTAGATAAAACACAAGTCCATATGTCAGTATCTGTTGAAGATCTTAGATTGAAGACGAAAATAAGATAAATGAATTGATCTTCTGTCATTGATGAAAGTTTAAAAGGCTCATATTCATGTTGTATAGTACGTAATATTCTTAAAAGGATGTGTACTTTTGCTGCATCATCAGGTAATTTAAGGTCAACAAGTAACCATGTCTTCATACTGTAAGTGTAAAAACGTGGACACTGTGGTGGATTTATAACACATAGTGAGTGATACACTATTATTCACTGGATGACGTTTCAAGCATAAATTATTTATTCCTCATATCATATCAATGTAATCACACAACTAGATTTTGACATCTGATTTTTTATAGTCCGATTACCCACCTCATATTATTTGCTTTTATTGGTGGTGAAATTTCCCATCTCTTTCGTATGGGTGTTACATCATTCCTATTCCTCATGTGTTAGGTGTTGGTTGATTGATGAACAAAGATTCAGTAATCAATCCCTCTCTCTCTCTCTCTCTCTCTCTCTCTCTCTCTCTCTCTCTCTGCCTCCATGTGATTATACTGAACTTAAGGAGTACAGTGATTTTATCCCACCCACCCTATTGTGTAGTTCTATATTGATCAATGCATTGCAATAGCCGAGTGTTTTTCTGGATAATAGATCTTATTCAGGTCTAAAATTCTGTATTTGACTAAATTTCTATGTTCCACTAATCTAATTGACCTCGATCTGCTAGTTTGACCTATGTACTTGACGTCGAAGTCTTATTTGGTTCTACTAGTCTTCATTTAGATAAGTTTTTGTGCTCTGTTATTCTAATCAACCCTGGTTGACTACTTTCACTTATGTAGTTGACCTCACAATCATTGTGGGGGATTTGGTAAAGGAGATTATTTTGCCTAATTGCATCGATGACATCCTTTTGATCTACAAAGCTTCTTTGTAAGTGAGTTTGTTGGTTTAAATGTCGCTTTAATCTCAGTCCACCGTATTCAGTATTCTATGTAGTGTTTCTGAGATGCCTTCTTTATATGGTAATACTGTAGAGGTTCGAATTCTGTCTTCACAGTATTATTAACATTATTATTACTTGTGATTTGACTACCTAAGATAGTTGTAGTTTAGCAGACTGGTATTTATACTACGAGGTGATTAAAGGTGGATATCGCAACTCAGTTGATACAGCATCGGATAGGAAACCCGGTAGTCGGTGGTTCGTGTCCGGTCACAATCAAAATTTATGTTTCACCTTGAATCATCACACAGTGTAATTATTATTACTTCTATTAACACCTGTATTACTAATATTCTTCTCATGATCCCTAAGAAACTTATCAATCAATTTTTCAGGGTAATTGTTGATGAGTAAAGTATCTTTAATGCGTCTAGTTTCTTGTTTTAAACCTTCTGTTTTACTAGTAAACTTTTTTGGCCCTGTCACTTAGACCTTATGCTAAGCCAATTTTAACTGACATATGGGTGAAATGATTTGAAGTCTAAGTAACGGTTGGAATGTGAAGGTTTTCTGTAGACACTAGTGTCTAAATTCCCATCATGTTTCCTTTTTATTCGGCAATCCAACATCGCTAATTCTCCTTCTCTATTTTCTAACTCATAGGTGAATTGGATTGCGTTGACTACTGGATTTATATGTGTCTCATATAGGCATTCACTCAAAGTGTT